TTTCTATGAAGCAAACTTAGTTTGAGCATAGTTAACCAGATTGTGAACCAACGTAACCGGTTTGCATTTTCTGTTATGATTTTTCATTATCTTATCTTCTATATATGAAAAGGAGAAGCATTTTTTATGATGTCTCAAATTCTCATTTTTTTAATTTTTTGTTTAATAATTTAAACTACTATTAACTCCTACTATACTCATATCCAAACATTACACAAAACATTATCCCTATATCCAAACATAATTATTCAACTACTTATTTCCATACAAAAGATTGCCATTACTATACAAAATTTACACGATTAAAAAACATAATTAAATGACACTACTAATTTTCAAAAGAATAATATAACTACCTAACATACTAAATTAAATTCACTACGTCCACAATTCACTATTCACGTATACCAAAACATAATAACATACTAAATTGTCACGATTTAAAAATTTAATTAAATGTCACTACTAATAGTCAAAAGAATATTATAACTACCTAATCTTCTATATATTAAAAGAAAATTTTTTTCACAATTTTGATAATTTTTTAAGCTCTCAAATTTTCTCACTTTTTAAATAATAAATTATCTCTATTTATTAACTCCTACTATCCTACTACCCGAACACTCTACAATTACACAATCTTTATAACCAAACATAATTAGAAAACAATTTTATGTAATCTATACAACTTATCTACTAAATAACGCTAAAATAATAATTAATTTATAAGATTGGAAATTAGTGACAAGTTTACGGTTAAATATGTAATCTTTCATTTTTTTATCTTTGAGTCGTATACCGCAACTTTGAAAAATATGTTCCGTTGGTTTCAATTATTGCACCGGTGAAATACATTTTATAAAAAACAATCGCAAATTTAAATATGTAAAGTTGAATTTAGATGAGAAATTTCAAAAAATGCCACTTTTCAAGTGCCACTTTACAAAAATGCCACACTTTTAAAATCTTTACAAAAATACCACTTTTTCAAAATTATTTTTTTCTTTATATTATTTATGCTTGGGTTAATTATTTTTCAAAAATACCACTTTTTCAAAATAT